CGCTTCTACTGTACACGACAAACTATTGGACTTCTAGAACTCTCTACTACAATGCAAGGAAAGGATGAGTCTGTCATCGACTACATCGAGCGGTGGAGGAACCTCGCCCTTCAGTGCAAGGAACAAATAAGCCAATCCTCTGCCATAGACACAGCGTACAAGGGATGCATTGGGGACTACTCTATAGCCTCAAAGGGAACATGTCTACCACCTTTGAAGAGTTAGCTACTTGAGCTCGTGACTTAGATATCCAAATAGCTAAGCATGGGAATCCCCAACAAAGTAATCCTCGTGAAAAGAAGGATGAAAAGAAAGAAGTCAAGAAGGACCTTAACACCTCCTCCTCCAAAGGAAAGGAAGTCATGAATACCACTGCACCAGTTAAGATCTCCGACAAGAATAGGAAAACAGAGATCAAAGTGAAGTCTTTTGCAAAACAAGGCCAAGAGAAATCTAGGCCTACTCTGAAGGAACTAGAAGAGGAGTACCCATTCCCTGAAGGAACAAGAGAAATCTAGGCCTGCTCAACCAACTACTTCAATCAAAGTTGATCGAGTTTCCACCGCCCAAGCGACCTGAAGAGCAAGGACATGTGACTGACCCCAAGTATTGCCAGTATCATCGGATGGTAAGTCATCTAACTGAAAAGTGTTTTGTGAATGACAAAATACTTCATCTCACAGAACAAGGAAAGATCGAGTTAGATCTTGGTGAAAATTTTGCTGCTACTAATGTCACCATGGTGACCTTTAGGTCCTTTGACCCAGTACCATTGCAACCTTCCACGGGTTCTTTCTCCTCTGCTCAAGCTACAGCGAATGTCCAGACCTCAAGCAACTCTACACCCGCAAAAGGGAAGGCGACACCACAACACAACTCAGTGGATTCTCCTCAAATTATGGAGACTGGGGGCAAGGTAGCTGGACCCCCAACGACGTCTTTTCCTACGGTATCCCTCCTATAGGGGGCAATTCCTGTCCAGATTATTGTTGATCAAGAGGTGACCACGGTTTATGCCTATCCTAACATGCCAAGGTTCGGCAATCCTGACATCCCAATTCTCTATTAGTTGATGACTGATGACTTGGACTACTAGGAAGAGTCATCTGTTTCAGAAGATGAGATAGAAGATTGGTGGTTCACCTTCACCAGCAAGAAATCCATGGAGAAGGTACGGCACCAACCCAAAGGATCAATTCGAATGAGGGCAACACTATCTCCATCTACTCTAGTGACTCAGAAACATCTCAAAATGAGATCGGAAGGATTGTCGTCGCTCAGCGTAAGAACAAGGCTCCTCGTCCTGTCGTCCCTATGTCAACCAAACCAAAGCGGACTAGAAGACGGCGAATACACAACGCCTCCAAGAAGAAAGTGCCAAAGAAGAAAGCACCTCAAGTACCGCCAGTTAGTGAGGAGGAAGTGCTTCAACAACCTCATCCAACTCTAGTAACCCTTTGGGAGTTCATGCCAAGAGAACTTTTCCAGAGGAATGTGTTGCGACATACATGGTGACAGTTGGCGAAGAGGAAACATCACCATCAGTAGAAAAGGCTTCATCCGACGAGGACGAAGACATGACAAGGCTTCTTCAAGAGCACCCCATGTGTGATGAAAAAGTAGCAAAGCAACTGGAGGAAGTGCCATCCCACTTGTGCCTTACCCAAGCGCTATAACTACCACAGAAGGTTCACTTTGCAATGGCGAAGACCTTGATCCTCCCCAACAAGTACCAAAGCAAAGTACCAAAAGGGTACAACTGCACGGATTGCATGGAGACAATTACCTTCACATATGAAGATTTACAACTTGGGTCACGTCCACATAACATACCCTTGTATGTTGCCGGATATGTTCGTGAATAGAAGATGTCACGCATCTTCATTGATTATGGATCTGCTGTCAACATCATGCCAGTCTCCACTATGAAACAACTTGGGATTGACAAGGATGAATTGCTAAAGACCAAGTTGACAATCCAAAGCTTTAATCAAAAGGGACAACGTGTCGTGGGCATGGTTCGTCTCGAGATAGAAATAGGAAACTTAACATCTTCGACCCTTCTACATGTCATTGACGCCAAGACATCTTACCAACTACTTTTGGGACGCCATTGGTTGCATGAGACAGGAGTGGTTCCTTCAACGTGGCACCAATGCTTCAAATACTACCGTAATGAAACACAAAGGAAAGTTGTCGCTGAGCCAGAGCCTTTCAACAAAGCTGAAGCACATTTTGCTGACGCAAAGTTCTATGCTAACAAGGTCATTTCAGATGCTCTTTTGGTATTTGTGCCAAAACCTTTCACGATGAAGGTTTGGAAGAAAAAGGAAGACACGATGCATGAAGAAGAAAATGCATCTTCAAGTAGTGACAAGGAGCATCTACAAAACCAGCATGCATTTGCTACCTTGCCAACAACTCCACCATCGACTTCCTCTTCTTATAACCAATCAACCCCCTCCCTTCATTACACACCAAAGTCAAGGAGAAGGGAAGGGCAACTACCTTTTGAGATCATGGCTGCACCAATCACTGAACCAGTACCAATGAGTGACATTGGAGTTCTTGAGAAGGATTTTGTGCTTCCAATCTCTACAGCATTGAAGTCATCGGTCTCTAAGCCACCTCTAGAAGGATTTGTTAGAGCTTCACCAACCAGTAAAGTAGGGTAACATCAAGAATGGTGGTTTGACCCCAACGCTGAGAAGCTCCTCGAGAAGTAGGTTACAAAGAAGGTGAAAATCGTTAGTTAGGGACTTTGAGTCAGTCCTTACAAGTGGACAAGCCTATGGCCTAACAAAGACACAAAGAGCTTTACAAAGTGGAGGCTCCCACATCTCTCAGCAAAATGTTGGCTTAGGATACCATCGAATCCACCAACTCAAATTTCACGGAGGAAGGTGTCATCCAACCACATCACTGTAGAAGTGGTGGACAAGAAGAAAAAGAAGCATACACAGCGGAGTTTAGTCTTCGATTGGCTAGGAGAACCAAGAGAAAGACAATCAGTTTTCGACATACTTGGAGGACAAGATGCTGCTCCAACGTCATCTGCTCAACTACAAAGGACTTCAGTACTCTCCTACATAGGGCCCAAGGGCAGACAACAAAGTCAAAGCCTACAATGCGCCATCGCTACAAAGGAGAAGTCAGAGCATCGGAGTGTTGTTTCTTCTCGTATGAAGAGGGTGGTGAATTTGGAAGTTTCCTCTAATGAGACATTGACAGTTAGACAACAGATTATTGTCATCACATTTCCATCATCTTCTCAATTAAAGTTCAACCTTCAACCAAGACAAGACATGGAAGAACAAAGTGAAGGGCTAACTGAGGATGAAGACATTGTCTCAGTTAATCACATCACCATTGAGGAGAAGGAGGATAAAGATCTGCCAAGCAATTCTTCAGATGAAGAACTTGAGCCTGCTCCACCTACTTTTGTAGAAGGAGGCTAAGCAATAGTGGATGACCTGAAGGAGTTTAACCTTGGCACTGAAGAGGAACCTAGACCTATCTACATCAGTGCACTCCTTAGCCCTGAAGAAGAAGCCAAATACTTCAAACTACTTCAGGAGCATAAGGATGTTTTTGCTTGGACATACAAGGAAATGCCCGGGTTAGACCCAAAGGTTGTTGTCCACCACCTTTCTATTAGGCATGGGGTACGACCAATCAAGCAAGCACAACATCGATTTGGACACGAGTTGATTATGCAAATTGAAGCAGAAATCAACAAGCTCATTGAAGTTGGTTTCATTCGGGAGGTGAAGTATCCAACTTGGATTGCAAACATTATCCCTGTAAGAAAGAAGAATGGTCAAATTCGGGTCTGTGTTCACTTTCGAGACCTAAATCAAGCTTGCCCAAAACACAACTTTCCTTTGCCTATCACTGAACTCATGGTAAATGTAACTATAGGCCACGAGGCATTATCCTTCATGGACGGTTCATATGGATACAAATTCACATGGCGCCTAAGGATGAAGAACTCATGGCCTTTCGAACACCAAAGGGGATCTATTGTTACAAAGTGATGCCTTTTGGGCTTAAGAATGTAGGTGCTACATACCAGCACAAATGCAACAAATCTTCGATGACATTCTTCACAAGAAGGTCGAGTGCTACATCGATGATTTGGTTGTTAAGTCTAAGAAGAGAGAAGACCATCTCGATGATTTGCATAGCATCTTCAATAAGCTAAGGAGATATCAACTAAAGATGAACCCTCTAAAGTGTGCATTTGGAGTAACCTCAGGTAAGTTCCTCGGGTTCATTGTTCGCCATCGAGGGATTGAAATTGATCAATCAAAGATTGATGCCATCCAAAACATGCCAGAGCCGCGGAACTTACAAGAGTTGAAGAGTCTCCAAGGATGACTGGCTTACATTCGGTGGTTCATCTCTAACCTGGCAGGATGTTGTCAACCATTCAACAAGTTGATGAAAAAGGATGTCCCATTTAAGTGGGATGAGGCCTACAAAAAGGCCTTAGAGAGCATAAAGCAATACATTTTCAAACCCCCAGTACTTATCACACCAATCCCTGAGAAGCCGCTTATTTTATACATCGCTACACAAGAGCAATCATTGGGAGCCTTGTTGGCACAAGTCAATGAGGAAGGAAAAGAGAATGCACTCTACTACCTCAGTCGGACACTAATAGGAACTGAGTTGAACTACTCACCCATAGAGAAGACTTGTCTTGCTCTCATCTTTGCCACGAAGAAGATATGGCATTAGATGTTGGCACATACTGTCCACCTCATCTCAAGGGTAGACCCCATCAAGTACATCATGACACGACTTGTACATTCAGGGAGATTGGCTAAATGGGCTCTACTCTTGTCAGAATTTGACATCACCTATGTTCCACAGAAGACTGTGAAAGGACAGGCACTGGCAGACTTCCTTGCAGATCACCCTATTCTAGCAGATTGGGAACTCTCCGAAGACCTTCTTGATGAAGAGGTTTTTTACATAGACATGTTACGGCATGGATGATGTTTTTCGATGGAGCAGCACGCAAAGATGGTGGGGGTGCCGGTGTTGTATTTGTCTTGCCACAAAGAGAAATCCTCACATACTCATTTTCCTTGATTGAGCTTTGCTCTAACAACATGGCGGAGTACCATGCTTTAATCATTGGCTTAGAAATGGCTCTTGACTTGGAAATCCACTACCTCACAGTCTATGGGGATTCGAAATTGGTAATCAACCAATTGAAGACAAAGTATGAGGTGCGTAAGGATGACTTAGTTTCCTATCACCATTATGCAATCCAATTACTAAAAGAGTTCGAGCATGCTACCATTAAACATGTACCCAGAAGCGAAAACAAGCAAGCAGATGCCCTTGCCAATCTAGCAGCAGTCTTAGCACTCGTGGATGATGAAGCAACAACAATACCCGTTTGTGCACAATGGGCTCTCCCCCCTAAGTCACCTCAAGAAGAGATAGAGCAAGAAAGCAATGTAGCTTCTATATTCACTATAGATGTTGAGGACTAGAAACAACCCTTCATCGACTACTTGCAGCATGGGAAGTTACCCGAAGATCCCAAGCGTAGAGCCGAGATACGGCGTCGAGCACCTCGTTTCCTATACTACAATGACAACCTCTACAAACACTCCTTCAATGATGTCTACATGAGGTGTATCCACGGAGACGAAGTCCAAAGTGCACTCGACCAAACACACTATGGAGTTTGTGGTGCTCATTAATCAGGACCTAAGCTCCATGGTCGCCTTAAGCGAATGGGCTTTTATTGGCCAACAATGGTACAAGACTCAATTGAATATGCCAAAAGATGTTAAGCATGTCAAATTCATGGGGATTTTATTTGCCAACCACCAGAACTTCTACATCCTACAGTTGCATCATGGCCATTTGATGCATGGGGACTTGATGTGGTTGGTCCCTTGCCTAAGTCTTCTCGCCAGCATCTCTTCATCTTAGCAGAAACGGATTACTTTTCCAAATGGGCTGAAACAGTTCCTCTTCGAGAAGTAAAGAAATATGTTGTCAACTTTCTCTGGATTCACATTGTCTATCTCTACAGTGTTCCACGTTACATAATCACAAATATTGGGAAGCCATTCTCAGCAACATTGGTGACACATTTTTGTGACAAGTTTGGCATTAAGTAGATGTTTTCAACCATATACAATGCAGTGGCCAATAGACTTGCAGAGGCCTTTAACAAAACTCTTTGTAAGTTACTTGAGAAGATTGTGTACAATTCAAGAAAGATTGGCATGAACGCTTGGATGAGGCCTTATAGGCTTATCGGACATCTTACCGCACCGCTACAAATGCAACTCCTCTTCCCTTAGTATATGGTGTAGAAGTTGTACTTCCCCTAGAGAGACAAATGAACTCCCTAAGGATGGCTATCCAGGTGAGAATTATAGAAGATGAGAATGCAAAGCTATGACTAGCTGAGCTCAAAACGCTAGATGAGAAGAGATTAGAAGCTCAACAAAGAATAGAGTGCTACCAAGCTCGTTTGACTCATTCATTCAACAAGAAGGTTCATCTTCGCTCCTTTCAGAAAGGAGATATTGTCCTTGCTGTTCGACAACCTATCGTTCTCTCACACCGTTCAAGTAGGAAATTTGACCCTAAATGGGATGAGCATCACATGGTGGAAGAAGTCTACACTAATGGTGCTTATCTCCTTGTCATGCTAGAGGGTCTACATCTTGGGCCCATTAATGGAAAGTACCTTAAGAGGTACTACCCCTAGTCTTTTGCATTGTAACACTCCTGTCCCATATGAGCCTAAACTGTTAATGACAAAAAAAAAAAAACAAGTCTTTTGCATTGTAACGCTCCTGATCCGCATGAGCCTAAATTGTGAATGATAAAACAAAAACAAAAACAAGTCTTTTGCATTGTAACACTCTTGGCCCGCATGAGCATAAACTGTAAACGGCAAAAAAAAAAAAAAGAAAAGTCTTTTGCATTGTGACGCTCCTGACCCGCATGACCCTAAACTGTGAATGGAAAAAAAAAGTCTTTTGCACTATAATGCTCTTAGTCCACATGTGCCTAAACTATGAATGGCAAAACAAATGTCAAATATGAGAATTTCTCTCTTAGAAGAAAAAGAATGAAACATCAAGTTCATTTCCAACATCATTTGACTACAATGTAGAAGTTGTTTCATTTACAAGAGAAAGACCACTTTTTGGAGTTCTACATAATTGAATACACTCTTACAAAGAGCAATGAATGCTTCTACAAGTTGTGTTAACACTTAACATTGACTTGCATCTCTTGCTTGTTGGTTGTCTTCAATTTTTTCAACTCGTCATGCTGAGCTTTTCCGTTACAAGTGCTTCACTATCTTCCTATTGCTTCTTGCTAAAGTGTTGCCTTTGGAAGTTAAGGAAAGGTGTTGTTCCACCTACTTATATTATTGCTCCTCTATTCCTTGCCATTCCTCCTCAAAGGTACAAGACATTACATCAATGTGGAGTTTCTTGTTGTCGGAGGAAGACATGTCAACTAATCTTTACCCATTCATTCATATAGGTAAAGATCTTCACAATAAGCTTCCTTAGAAGGGGTACAAAGAATTTTCTCCCTTTCATGTTAAAGGAATGCGCTCATCCCATATGATCTCATGGAAGTCAAACAAACTCTCTAGAAGCAACAAAAGGCTCTAGCATTGCATAATCCATGACAATTCATTTTGGTTGGAGAGGTTCAAAGAGCTCCTTCTGTTCAGCTCTATGTTAACAACGAGGACTTGTCAAAAAGTTCTGTAAAAATAAGCACTAGTTGTTGAACATTCTACAAGTAAAGCAGAGAGATCATCCCTTCAAAGTTAGGTCTTCAGGGTTTGCCTCAAGGTGGAAGGTCTGCTGTTGATGAAGCTCCGCATGGTGTGACTCTCTAGTGAAGAAGCTCTGTGCAAGCTAATCCCTAAATCCAAGAGACCTTGCACCAAAATTTCAACGAAACTTAGGACCTAGGGACCCCAGACCATTGAAGGTCTGCAAGGACCTGCTGCTGATGAAGTTTTGCATGATGCAATTCTCTAGTGAAGAAGCTTTGTGCAAGCTAATCCCTAAATCTAAGAGACCTCGGACCTGAAAGGGACCCCAGACCATTGAAGGTCTGCAAGGACCTGCTGCTAATGAAGTTTTGCATGATGCAATTCTCTAGTGAAGAAGCTTTGTGCAAGCTAATCCCTAAATCCAAGAGACCTCAGACCTGAAAGTCTACGAAGCTCTGAACCTAGGGGCCCCGAATCATTGAAGGTCTGCGAGGGCTTGTTGCTGATGAAGCTTTGCATGATGCGGTTCTCTGGTGAAGAAGCTCTGTGCAAGCTAATCCCTAAATCCAAGAGACCTCGGACCCAAAAGTCTATGAAGCTATGGACGTAGGGACCTCGAACCATTGAAGGTCTACGAGGGCCTGTTGCTGATGAAACTCCGCATGCTGTGACTCTTTGGTGAAGAAGCTTTATGCAAGATAATCCCTACATCCAAGATACGTCGCACCTAAATGTCTAGGAAGCTCTGGGCCTAGGGACCCTAAGCATTGAAGGATTGCGAGGGCCTACTGCTGATGAAACTTTGCATGATGCAATTCTCTGGTGAAGAAGCTCTATGCAAGTTAATCCCTAAATCTAAGAGATCTCAAACCCAAAAGTCTACAATGCTCTGGACCTAGGGACCTCAAACCATTGACGGTCTACAAGGGTCTGCTGTTAATGAAGCTCCGCATGCTGTGACTCTTTGGTGAAGAAGCTCTATGCAAGGTAATCCCTAAATCCAAGAGACCTAAGACTCAGAAGTCTATGAAACTCTGGACCTAGGAACCACAGACCATTGAAGGTCTGCGATGGCCTGTAAGTGATGAAGCCATACTGATGTGCCAATTGGTGAAGTTCTAACCCGTCAAGTCTTATAGAAATGCGGTGCAATTCGTGATACCTTGACAAGAGATGACACACAGTTGACGTATCAAAGTACTAAGTTGTAGTATTAATGCACGAAGTAAGGCAAATGAAATGAGAAGAAGGAATCACTATTTTCAAATAAAGGAAGATCAGGGCATATGTAACCCATTAATCTAGTGATCCAGGGATGTGAAATCTCAATGAGATTTGGGAGTGCATGTTGCCATCCTTTGTACATCAGTGGCAAATCAATCAATTTGCTTTAATCAGTGGCTCGACTGAAAAGGAACAGCCTTGCAAGGACAGTTCAACGGCAAGCATAGGTATATAAATTCGTGCTTATAGAATTTGTGAGCTTAACAAACCCTCTGAATAAGCATGGGGTATGTATTTAGGCACTATTCATTTTCAATACAAGGCTTTGATGAAGATGGAGTTTCCGACAAAAGTAGGCCACACTCATGATGCCTATATATAGCAGAAATCAGCGTAATCCAGTTTCAAGCTAGAGTTCTTTACACTCCTATGGTCAAAATACAGACCAATAGTAGGTGAAGGAAATATCGTCACTGATATCCCACCATGCAGAGAATCTCAAAGAAAGATTCATGGTATCAGTCTCTTGCAGTCTTAAGAAACTCACGACATCATGGAGAATCCGGGTGTGTGTTGCACACACTCTTGATCCATTTAATAATGTTACAAAGGGAGGAAAAGATGCGGCCTAGAGCATCATTACCAATTCAGAAATATAAAAAGGGAGGAAATACAGTCATTTTATTGCAAAGATGGGAAACTCAATGAATGTTTAAATAACAATTCCATGGATGCTAGTACATGCAGTGACGAGTGCTTTGACGGTCCACTACAGTTATCATAGATAGATAATGAATATGGTAAAAGGCACCCCCAGAAGTTATGCCTCCATGATATGGCTTTGTATCTCTTTCAAGTCCCATTCATGAAAGGATAGGACAAGTGGAATGGTTTTAACCACATCACGTGTGGCTATTTCTAATCATCAAAAGTCTCTCCATGATTGTTTTAACAACCCAAGAAAGGGAATCCTTTTCTTCTCTTAACAAGAATCTTGTTTTGTTATGAAAAAGAGGGCAATTTTTGGGGTTTAATAATATTTTTTAAAAAATATTCAAAAATAGGTCAACTTTTTTAAAATAATAAATAAAGGGTAAAAACACTTTTCGCTATCTTCTTCTTGCCATTTGTTCACCAGTGCCGCTGCCCGCCGCCACCTGCCACCACTGTCCGCTGCCGCCCGCCTCCAGCAACGTTGTCGGAGGGAGCGCTGGTGGTCATTTCTCTGCCCGACGCTGCCACCTCCGCCTTCGACAACGTTGCCGGAGGTGGGTGGAGACAGAGGTGGCAACGACGGCGCTGGGCAGAGGAATGACCACCAGCGCCGCCACCACCACCTCTGCCTCCGGCAATATTGCCAGAGGCAGAGGCGGAGATGGGTGGCAGCAGACAGCAGTGGCGGACGGCGGTGCTGATGAACAAATGGCAAGAAGAATATGATGAACAGTATTTTTTCCCTTTATTGATATTATTTTTAAAAAGTTAATCTATTTTTGATTT